GTCACCAGAGCGGCTCCCATAAATTTTTAATTAGTGCGAATTTCAGCTCAGGTCGCAAAAAGCCTCTTCGCTCGTACAAATATTTCGGTTTCCTGAGGCACTCACAAAAAGGGAAAAAACCCAGAGAGCTCTAGCTGTGGGTGTACATATAACACACAGTCAACAGGCAGTAGTCACAGTCTCTTCAGTTACAACAATTGGACCACATTTAGCTGAGAGGAACCAAGCCGTATCAGCTATTGCCCAATTTTACTAGACAATTTGATTCTTAACGAGGGAGCGTTTGTGCAAATTCCTTTCAAAATTTTAAGGAATTTGCTTCATATTATGCAGACATTGCACTGGAAATTGCACACAAACCTGCACAAACGTTTTCATGTAAAAAATTAAATTGCCCTATAAAATTTGGCAACGGCTGTTGAAGCTTGGTTCCTTTCTGATTAACGTAGTCCAATTAGTAATTCCTTGAAAAATGATATAGTGTGCTAGGAATTTAATGTACCGATGAACGCTATCAAAATTCGCAATTTTTGACGTTCTCTTCGGTTTTTAAGTATCCGAGTACATTTCATTATACGAAATAGATATACTCACAAGTTTTTACCACATCGGGTAACCGCTGAGACCTACCATTACACGTAAATTTTTTGAGAGTTCACTGGAAAAAAAAAAAAACATACACATATTGGATCTAGAGTCCAGACTTTTGAAAACATTGACAAGAAAAAATACTCTTGATTCAATCGGATTTTTGCTTGAATCAAAACAAAATTCGCTTAAATTAAGAGGCTCGGTTCTTGATATAAGCTAGATTTTGATTGAATCAAGAGTACTTTTTCTTGTCGATGTTTTTAAGAGTCTGGACTCTAGATCCAATGTGTTTTTTTCCCAGTGTTTACATAGTTTTGACAGTCATATTTCTCACCAGCGCCACAGAAATCCAAATAATTTTAATCTATGACTCGCCGGAGAATGAGTTTCACTTGGGAAGAGAAATGCGCTCGAGTGTGACTATACACGTTACACGCTTCATCTTGAATTCAAAACTAAGCGTATTATCAGAGCGTTTGTGCATGCTGCCCTGCAAGAATTATTTTATGGTCCGATACGCTTATTGTTAATGTGACTGCAAGCGGTGACCCGCGAAAAACTACCACTGTGCACAACTACGATGCATGTAACGCTGGCGCACGGGGACTTAAGGGTTATGGATTTCTCTGGGAAAAATCGATGTGTGTGCTGGTGCGACGGTGCATAATGCAATCAAAAACACAGTAGGTAAATACGAAAGGCGATACGCAATTTCTTATTTCTTACCAATTATTACCAACGAAAATTACCAATTATAATTGAAGAAGGTTTCTCTGGATTTACAAAAAACTTTGGGGGAAAACAAAAACATGTAGGGCAATTTTTGCTCGTCTATCTATGAATCTGATTCTATGTTCAATAAGTGTGTTGAATTTAAATTATGCAGGGCTCACTGAACATACAGGTTTATTCAAAAAGTCACGCACCACTGGCCATTACTTCAGTTCTAATTACGATATCGACTTATATCGAGGGGGAAATGTTTATACGTACATTCCAGTTTTTGATTCCCTCTGGGAGAGGGGGGCGGGGGCAACTCAAAAATTTCGAATGGCCACCCCCCCCCCTCATGGCTAGTGGTGCGTGACTTTTGAATAACCCTGTATAAGATAAGCTTATGTAGTATAGATTACTCCTATGCGGCCAACACCGAGCTATAGCATTAGTTATTTGTGAGTGCTAATGCAATATCTTAAATCGACTAAGTTAACAATGATATCACAAAAATTGTATGGCAGGTGAAAACTTTCACGTTTTTTTTTTTGGGGGGGGGGGGGGAGACTCATCTCACTCCCTCCAGAGGAATATTATTGCGTATACTGAAAAAAAAATGTTATGGAGAAGAAATTAGGATTCGTCTAAATTGTGAAAGGTAATTTTTTCGTTAGGGCTGACGAGAAATCGCAACTTACGCCTATCAATTGGGCGTACTTCTATCAAACGAAACTATGTGCATTAAGACCTGAGCCCTGAGACCCATAAGAATACGCGCATAACAGGGCTCACGTCATAATGCACATAGTTCCCTTTGATAGAAATACGTCCAATTCTCCGCCAGAATTAGTAAAGTTAGTTAGCAATGACAACCGAGTAACAGATGGAAGTGCAGACACCCAGATAGGACAGTGGGAAGGACCTCACTGAAATTGGAGGTAGTAGTCCGGAAAAGTCTTAAACTATGCCCGTCAATTCCCTGCCGTAGCTAACGACTTTTTGAGGATACAACTTTCATTGTGAACTCAGAGCTTGCATTAGATGTATTCTGTAAATTTACCATAAAAAGATCGGAGGCTCTGTAAAAGCGAAGTGTGATATGTTAATAAACCGACCACTGTTTCCTGTGGGCCTTTTGGATGGATGAATCTTCTTGCGCAGTGAAACAAAATTTCATGAATATTCAAGTGAAGATCTAATAATATCTCTTCGTAAGGAAATATGGCTTGTTTGAAAGTCAACGACAAGAGAACAAAAATGAGATTTTATTCTCTAATTTTGGATATTAGCAACACCAATCCCCAAAAATTGCGCGAGAAGACGGGTTTTAATTTGTATCTAACGACGAAAATGAACGCAAGAAAGAACATAATGAGGAAGATTTGGACAACGAAAATTAAGCTCGCTTCTCAGTTCAAAGTTGATGGGAGTTGTTTCATGAATGTTTTGTCGCCCATTTGACGTAAAGGAGTATCTCGATTTCCGTGAAAGCCTCGATGCCCATTTCATTCAATGCTTTTTGGAGCTCACGTGGGAACGGCCATACTTTTACCCCTGTGTTGGAGAGAGACGGTATGAGTAATTTGGAGGCGAGCATTAAAATATAATCATGGAATATGCCTTTCTCTTCGAACTGGTTGCCAACGAATAAAGGAGTCGGTTTCATGAATCGTAATGTGTAAAATAGGGGGAAACATATATCGATCAATTGCCGCGTATTGTGGCCGATCAATCCTTATCATGATCCCTATATCATTAAGGTTAAAAATAACCTCACTGAGAAAAAGTTACGGGCTATATAGAAGATATACCGTCCATTCCGGGCTCAGAGGCCGAAAGTTCCAGACGCAGCATCGGAACTTTCGGTCATAGATACGTCTATTAGCCCGTAAGTACGGCATCCACGACCGGAATTTTTATTCAACGCTACATTAAACGGACAGCTGTATTGCTAGTCCGAGTGGAAGATCTTTTTTTCATCGCTAGCGCGCATAGCTCAGTCATTTGGTCACAGTATGGTTTTTACGAGATAAGTTTTTCCCTGTTTGTGATAAGGTGGAAAAAACACCTGAAAATCACTAGAGTTAAGCGCAAGAATGTTCGCTATAAATTGACTGTAAGAACTTTTTTGAAACTCAATCGAACATTCTATTCCGGGCGATGGACTTTGAAAGTATACTAGATAGTTAACCTGGAGATTCCTTGAGATTCTTAAAAGTTCTCGATTCTCCAAATCAGAACTTTTTAAAATACTCTCAACGAAAAACTGTATAAAACTCTGTTAAACTGCATCTGCGACCGGAACTGCGGAAGGGGACATAAAATGTTTTCAAGAACTTGATTCAAGTTTTTCTCCCACCTTGAAATTAAGAGGTTAGGAACTTCAGCACTCAAATCGTCCTCAATTTTTTAAATTTTAGGGTCAAACTCGTCCCAAAATTTTAGGATTTCCTGTCTTCATATATTCGCAGAGATTTGAGGAACACAGATAAAAGGCACATGGCACAAGCATGATTTTTAATTCACTGCATGATGATTCTTGATTTTTTAAACATCTTTCAACTAAATTAAAGCCAAACTTTCCTAGGAACAAAAATTTTTCTTAAATCTTTCCGAAGTTGCTTCCATCTTACTGTTTCCCAAACAGGCCATCTCCTTTCCTTTCTTTACTTTTCTTCCTTCAATCGCATCAATGAGGGTTCTGAATGTATTATTTTTATGGTCACTGTCCTAACGATACACGATAAGACTGAGGTAATTGGGTTGTGATGCCAATTGCTTAATTGAGATTTTTATTGTTATGCTTAAAAATTGGCATTGATTAACACTGAAATTTTTTTTCATGGGATAATATTTTGACTTAAGCCTCGTTTCTTGTTGACAAACTTTGGTTTATTTTAAGTTAAATCCGAGCGGATTCAACTCAAAACCACCAAATTATGTCGACAACAAACGACGCTTCAAGTTCAAATATTATCTCAAAAACATTCTTTTTCAGTGAACTACTTGCAGTGACACACGAGGTTGGACCTCTTGGCAAAGATGTTTGAGTGTCGGCCATGTGTTTTAGTGTATTTTCCGAAGAAAATACACTCAGGCATTTTTGTAACATAGGTTCTTCTGAATAATTAAAAAAAAAATAAAAGGAAAAATCCTTGAGTTCGGCAAAAAAGGAGCTGGAATTAGTCCGCGCCGTTTTTGATTCAAGAAAAATTGTTTTTGGCGGAAAATTTAAGAAATCTTTTTGTTTTCAGTGACAAATTTCTCTTGAAGGAAAAGGCCCCTTTTTAAACCCGGTCCAACGTGGTCTAAAAGAAATTAAATATTAAAATTTCAGTGAAATATTCCATAAGATTACACGAGGTTGTGGAATATTTCATGTTTTTCATGGGCTAGCGTATGCAATCTCCCCTCAAACACACAAAAATTTAAGAAAGTCACAATTTTTGAAATTTGCGAAACGTGAAAAGGAACCGGTATTATTCAATATCTTTCATAAGTTTCTGAAATTTCATGAAATATTTCACAAAGTTTCATAAATTTCCGAAATTTCATGAAATATTTCACAACATTTCTGAACTTTTATGATATATTTCTCGTGAAATTTCAAGATTTTATTATTTATTAAATTCCGTCACCCTGACCCGGTCACCTTTAAGAATCGATCAGTAAAACCATGAATCAATATCACTCACATCATGGGCACGTGCTGTCAGTAACTCCTCAGATAAAGATCCTGCAATCCGACAAAAATCAAACCAACGGTACGTAAAGGCGTTCCGACCTGTCACCGAGCACAACACTGACACAATAATCACTGAGAGAGTCCCATAGCGCACGGAATCACGACGAGAAAAGGCGCGGAGCGAGCTTTTGCGGTCGGAAAGCTTCGACGGAAACCAGTTGCGGGAGCGAGTGGTGAGCCGGGAGGATCGCGAGCAGACTGATCAGGCAGATCGAAAAACCGTGGTGCCCCCGACCAGGCGCGAGGTCACTGCCTGGAGGATCCTTGCCCCCCCCCCCCCGGACGAAAACCAGGGGGGCGGGGGACCCGGGATTCCCGGGTGCTGGACCCCCGGCCTCAAACGGGTACGAATCCTATGACGTCCAGGTTTTTTCCCGAAGGCGCGATGATGATGATAAATATGATGATGAAGTGGTCCTGTGTCCTGGGGGTTTGCTCGGGATTCGTCTGGGAGCGAACCGGTTTGCTGTAACCCTGTGAGTGCGTCCGGGGCTCACGACCGGAGATGCGAAATCATTTTATTTTGCCCTCAAATCAAATTTCAATGTATGTCCCTGAATTGAGGCGCATAGGAGCAGAAAGGGCATTTCTTGGTTGCGGTGTCTTAGGATTTTCGTCAACGTTTCATCCAATATGATTAGAGTAAATGCATGGAATTCGTTGAAACTTTTATTGAATTCTTAAATCATTTTACCATGCTGAAGACGAAAAATTTTAGGGAGTGCATTCAATCGTTTACTCGCTATAATATGAATTACCAGTGGAGATTCTGAAACACCGCAACCCAGAAATATCCTTTCAGGACCCAACGTCTCAATAACGTAACGTACTTTTTCGGAATTTTTAGACATTATAAGACAATTATAAGACAATTCCATAAAAACTTCGAAATATATCAAATAAATTGTCACATATCTCTTCGGGAGAAAAATGATGGTGACGTCTGCATGAAAAGATCAAAATCGAGATCTGATTTTTCTTTAAAAAAAAAAACACACACACTAGCACGTACCTTGTTTCCTTGTAATTTAAATACTAAAGGCCTTTAAAGTGAAAACTCTGTTTGAAAAAGGTCTCACAGGATACTGAGTTGAATTGCTCTTGTCCGAAAGAACCCGACACAAGCAGAGAAATGATGCGACACTAAGGAAGGAAAGCGTGAGAGCAACTGATTGGACACTGAATACCAAATAACTTAAATATCGTACCTTTATAATGACTTTTTAGTTCATATGTTTCTCCGCTATCCAAGATAGTAATGAACAGTGATTGATTTTAATTTAATTACAGAAAACCGCTCGTGATCAAACCTAGAGACAAAGGAAATTAAAATTAATGAGTTGGAGTGAAAAGAGTCGAATTGTTTTATAACGCGGACTGGAGAGAAGAACCCTAGTCCGGGCAAGCCTGGTCGTGAATTTTTTGCTTGGTTTAAAATGTAAGATCAGAGGGGAAAATTTTCACAAATTTAAATTAGAGTCCAAATAGAATAACCTGTTTATGATGCAAAATTCATGCAAAAAGGCTCAAATCATTTCGGGTGATTAGAGGGCGTTTAACAGTACGAGGCTTTTTTTTAAAGTAATTCCTGAGATGACCCTCACTCTCTCGTTTCGTACACGATTATCAAGAATCACGCGGAACATTCAATTTTTATTTGTTTAAAGCTGTCAAAGTAATGATCAAAACCGGAATAAACAGCAAAAAATCAAATACTCGTTGATCCGTGGAAAAACTGGCACCCTTATTAGACAAAAGAATCCTATCGTCACTACTACTTGATCCCCGAATCGCATAGAAATACACCACTACAGACTATCAAAATAGAATTTAGACGAGGTTATTCAACACTCAAAGTGTCTCGTTGTGAGTCATGGGTCAAAAAAAGAGGATAAAGTAGTTCAATAAAATTGCAATTTAAATTTAATTTAAAACGCTCTCTCCGGCTGGTTGCTGACTACTTTTTGGGCGTTATAAATTGATGGACCGCAATGATTGGGGGTTTTTTCTCGGAGATTCTTTGAAGGCTTGAAAAAACACTAAGATATTTTAGACTAACGGAATTTCGACATTGGAGGTGGAGGGGAGATGAACGCTAGATCGGCTTTGATCCGACATGTCTGGCGTTTCCGACTATATAGAAGTTTGCTCTGTGTAAGAATGTGTTCATGGTGTGTCTAAAAGCTCCTCCATCAAGAAATATTTTCGAGTTCACTCCTCATTTTCACTAGAGCTCTTTTGTAATATGCTTTTCATTTCAATCGGTCAGTATAGCCTAAATGTTACCGCGAAGCTGCGTAATTTGAACCTCCTTACTATCATCCGGTTACTAATTTTAAGTGGAGAGTATACAATTTTAAAATCGTATTCACTTTGAATATGACTCTAAAAGTTTCGAAAACCTCTGATCGGTATTTGACAAGCTTCTCTTTCCAATAAAGAGTAGCGAAGCAGGGGTTGCCATCCAGAAATTTAGTATAGGCCTGTTGCAAACTTCGGCTAGCGTAAAACGAAGAGTTGTTTCTTTAAAAATTGACTCAATAATCACGATGAACATATTGAGAAGGTCTGATTGGACAAAGATTGGATGTAACGACTCAACGTGCGAAATATTCACCTGTGCCGTGGCGTGCTTTGCGATACATGGATTGTTATTTCATTTAAACCCATGGAAAAGAATCGATAAACAGGGTGTTCGCAGCGAACGCATTAATAATCGATTCTTTACCATATGTTCAAATGGAATTACAATCGATACATCGCAATTCACGCCACGCTACTAATGTTCACCTGTGCCGCAGTATCGTTCCTGAAGCATGAAGCTTAAAAAACGCATGTTTAGTGCGCAGATTGTTTTAGGAGTGGATTATAGACTTTCTCGGTGCTCTTGTATCGTAATTTTTGAGCCATCTTCTCTAAGAATTCTCCTTTTAGCTCTAGCTGAAGTTTGCAACAGGTCGATTGAAGGTTTAATGAAGAAGGTGACGAACTAACGTTTAAATTTACAGGGTGCATGACTACTAAAACAAGCTGGCCAAAAATCAGTACTTTTTCAGTACATTCCCAAAAAATTCAGTACCTTCCTCAACAGAAAAATTCAGTACTTTTTCAGTACCTCCATTAGACGAAGTTCGAAAAATTTAAAACATTTGAATTTATCGCATAAATTACGACTAAAATGACAAGAAATGGAAAAAATTCCGGACCTTCTTGCGAAATATCCGCACTTTTTCAGTACTTCCGGACCGTCCTTTAAATATCAGTACTATTTCCGGACTTTCCGGAAATTCCAACCCTGTTTTACCATTTAATCCGATTTTGTAATCAATAACTGAGACATTCCTGGTTCATAAGGCTTTTCTCCTCAGGGCGGCATATTAGCGCTTGTATTTGTCCGGGTCCCTGCAGGACGTCCGAGACGGTGGTTGCGCTTTGCGAGGGCTGCCAACTGGCAGGGCGCCGGCTGCTCGGATGGGGCACTACCCGATTATTTTTTCATGAACCCGAACGAACGATAAAGATATGCAATGAGAGGCGATTAGTTCGCTTTGTTAAGCTCCGATTTCAGTCCTGATTTATTCCGCCTCGAATTCGCGCTCGCCACGAATTCACAAAACGGGTCGAATGCAACGGGAACGGCACAGCGACACTGCCTCGAGCACTGACTTGGGCAAAATTTCATGGGGGAAGTGTACAGAGTGTCCCAGGATTAAGTACGAATATTGAAAAAGTCGATTCTTTGGGTCAAAAAAAGACGTTTTGGTGCTATAATTTTTTTTCCAAAAACGCTTTTTCTGAGCGCCACGACTCCCCAAATTTGGAGGAAAAGAATCTTCTTTTTAACACTGCGGCAATGTTTATTATCAACCAATAATGATGAAAATTGGTAGCTGAAAGTAATTTGTAGCGTTCTTTTCATTTTTGACCTCCAAAAAAGGTAAAACTCAATTTGAGGGGGGTTTAGGGGGCGGGTACCGAACCTAAAAGTGGCCAAATCAATGTTTCTAGCGACAAAAATTGATTTTTGACGGCACCATAAGATTTCCTTGCAAATTTGTTTTGATTTTGTCTCCAAATCAAGAAATGTCTAGCACTTAAAAAACCCTTAAAGATCCTAGGATTTTCGAGGCCAAAATACACGATATTTCCAGATCATAAGTAATTTTCGGACATAAATTCCACGCACATTGATTTCGATTTTCATCAAAATCCCCAGTTTTTCCAAACGGACTATTGAGGACTTGATAGTTTTCCCCCTATTAAGTCCACGCTCAACACATTTCAAACAGATTTACTGGTGGGCGCGAGCGTTTGCAGTGGACACAGGAAATGAGGAATCGACAAACTAGCGGCAATTAACCGACAAGAGATCTCATTGATGGCCTACTATTTTCCCTTCTCGTCTAAAAGAAGCACCCGTTTCAAATATTAGAACCGTTTTCCCTGTGTCTATGAATGTCAATGATCAGCCATCAGGGCGCGAGATATACCGTGACTCCCCACTCTCCACAAATAGGAACTCAAGAAAAAGAGAGGGGCTTCTCTTTTTGGATCACTAATTGCGAATGTCTTGCAGGACGGAGTCAGTGACGAATTTTTAAAGTTCACTGGAAAAAAGAAAAAACACACACACACATTGGATCTAGAGTCCAGACTCTTAAAAACATCGACAAGAAAAAATACTCTTGATTCAATCAGATTTAAGCTTAAATCAAGAACCAAGCCTCTAAATTTGAGCGGATCTCCTTTTGATTTAAACTTAAATCTGATTGAATCAAGAGTATTTTTTCTTGTCGATGTTTTCAAGAGTCTGAACTCTAGATACAATGTGTTTTTTCCCAGTGTTGGCAACACTGTTATTTTTCCATTAAAATGTACGTCGATTCTTAGTATGGCAGCTTGCCTCACTTAAAATCGATATTCTTAATAGATTTAAATGAAGGAAAAACAGTGTTGCCAACTTTCCAAATCGACACTGCATGTGGTGTTGGTGCATTATTGATGCGCAAGACGGCAACTTGCATTGACCGATTGCTCTCGCGCTCATTTTGTGTTTCTATTAGTCAAAGTGAAATTTAGGTCTTGTGCATTTTTAAAACATTCAGTTATTCCATTGCCGCTTGCAATCCTCCTTCTTCTTCCTCTTTTTGGATCGTGTCGCACGATTGTTTTTTATTTAAATTTTTCGGGAGGACATCAGGTCATC